CTCAACGGTTATCAAATAATCAAGATACTTTTCATAAGTATCCTTGACCTTGTACCACAAGTCCTGAAGTTCGGTGTTTCGAATTTCTAAATTGAAAACCGTGTGAGTTTCTGCTTTAATCAATTTAAAAGCAGCAGCAAATTTTACTACATTATCGGAGGCCCGAATAAATTGAGTTAGTGGAGTTGCAGACATGGTTTCGGAGTTCGATTTCAAGAAATGCTATGAAAATATTCAAATAAAGTGAAGAAAATGACGCAAAGTCTTATTAAAAACACCCAAATAACTGTAAAAGCGAAAAAAGTTTCAAAGTAAAAGGCAAATATTTGAAAATCGCAAAGGAAAACTAATTCGGTGGAAAGAAAATTGAATAACTTCCCAAATTTTACCAAAGAAATAGCAAAAAAAAGAACAAAAAGGCTATTAAAAACAAATGTATGAGGAAAAGGCAAGTAAAGCGTATAAAAATATCCAAGTAATAATCAAATATATTTAAATTGGAGATATTTATCAATCAATATTGAAAAAATTCGAAAAATAAGAAAAAATTATAAATTGTCGGTGTGTGCCGAGTGTAGGGTGCACGTATTTCCAAATGACAAATATTGATATGTACACGCGTACTAATAATTTCTTTAAAATGAGCAAAACTTTTAAGAAAATTTCTAAAATATCGATATTTTCCTTGCACAAGAGCACAATAAAAAGTACATATAATATGCCGAATATAGGGTGACAAAAATTAAAAAAGTCCAAAAACACTTCTTTATCAACAATTATCAAAAACAAAATAAAAATTATTTTTCAAAATTTTATTTTTTATAATTCACAATTTTTTCTACTTGAACCCACTGTGCAGTGGTGAATAACGAATACCGCACAAAGAAGAATAAAACACAAGCAGTGTTTGATGGTCGAACGGTGACGGGGGTGGGTTATCTACCACACTACGAGCTGACCGACGACAATGATCGCAACGGATATCGCACAAAAGAAAATAAAACACAAGCAGCGTCAGCAGAGCGCTCAGTGTGTGTGGGTAAGCAACTGCCTCGTTACGAACTAACCAACGACGACGAACCAACAGTGAGAGTTGGAGAAATAAATAAGTTGTTGTTATAGTTGTTGGTTAGTAGACTGACGCTAGAAAAAGGCGCTTGGAATTTTAGGGATTATTGTTATTGCAATGGCAAGACAAACAGACCAACGAAAATGACCAAACAGTGTGTGTTGGGGCGAGGTACGGGGGGATTTAGCAATGTTGGTATGTTTGTATGTTAATTAGAAAAAGCGGCACTTGCAATGCGGTGATTTTATTCTCGTTCAGAGTAATAGAGAGATAGAAAACAGATCACTCGGCAATGCAGAAATGTGTGGGGAATATTGCAATAACCAAACACAAAATTATGCACACTACAGCGGTAGATTATTTTTTAACAGAAATATATTTCTTTTTGATAAATGTGAATTATTAAACACAAACGGGAAATTCGATTATTTCGCGAGAAAATGGAAAATAATGCGAATAAGCCCCGATTTAAAGGAATATTTAATAGATTTTTTAGCAAAACAAAATTGTTGTGGACTGTAAATTTAAAGATACCGCGACTAAGGGTAAAACAAAGGCGACCAGTACCGCGAAGCAAACAAAAACTAACACTTTTTCACTTGTTTTTTCAAAAAATAAAGCACTCTAAGCTCACAAAACAAAATTAACTGAACTTACGTACCTTTTTTGATGTTGATGATGATGAATAAAATAATGATGTTGATGCGGTGGTGCGATTTATGAGGGGGGATGTGTGTTTTGAGTTGATTCCTTTGTAAAAGAGAACAAAAAACAGCAATTAATATCCAGGCAAACTTCTCAACTTGGCAAATCCGGCTCGATGCGACCAAATGTTTATGTAGAGTAATGGGGGAAAAGAAACAATAAGAAATAAAACAAACAAATAGAATTAATTTCTTTTCATGCAAAATTTGCTGGTTTATTGAATTGCTTTTGGTGTGTTTTTTCAACAATAAGTATTACCTCTTTTCAAATATGGTGTTGGCGACAGTGGCCGTGTTGGGTTTCGCTTCAAAGACTAAAGACAAGTGAACGCAGAGGTTCTAGGTGATCGCAGAGGATCTCATGTCTGTCTACTAATACAACTACAACTACTTCCAATGAGAGCATGTGTAACAAGGTGAGGTTACCGACAACAACCAATGCCCAGCGACGATCCGCTCACTACGGTCTCCGCCAGGGGAGTTGTAGAGGAGATGCCTGTGCGCCAATCAGCATCCGTGATTGATCGAGCAAGGGAAGTTGAGGGGCAAAGTATCTAACTTATACAATATGTATTAGCTTATTTTGTTATAATAAATAAAAAATGCTGTGCAAATATAAAATAACGACAGGAAAATCCATCAGATTATAAAACAAGTAAGCAAAGGCTATAGTCGTGCGGGGCCGACCATGTGATACCCTACAACACTACAATATGTGAGAATCCCCCTCATGTCCAAATCCATTTTGGAAGATTTCGCTTTTGAAATTATGTCACGGAGCACTGCCCAGATATTACCCTTAGCATTTTGACCAGGGACATTTTTGAACCCCTAAATATTTTGCGATCATCTCCAAAAGCAATTTGGCTATATTCGAAATATATATAACGAAATCAGCATAAAAAAGCTAGAAGTTCGCCTATTGTGTATTTCGGATATCACATGTAAGTAATGTTGGTATTTGTTCATACAAAAGTAGTGGTCCATTCTACCAGCTGTCTCAAATTCTTACTTCATGCAAGATTTCGTGTCCTTTTGTTTCTATTTGTGACCTTTATAACGGCTGCAAAATCAGGAACATTTTGAGTTGCTGGTCCATTTCAACCCCTAAATATATTGCGGACATTTTCGAAGCCCTTCTGAGCCTAACCCTACCTTTGTCAAAAATTTCGCGAGGATCGAACGATAATTGCAATCTGTATATAAATAATAACCCCAACCTGTGTTGTAAAGTGCAAAAATATTACAAAATACACACTTCAATATTATAAGTCAAATTGAAAAAGTCGCATGCGATAAAAAAAAATGTCACAAAATACTACAAAATCTATATTAACACCTTTATGGGTATCTTTTTATTCGATTTTTTTAGATTTTATATTTTTATGCCAAAAGGGCATTCTAATTTTACAAAATTAGTCAAAATCGCTCCAGCCATTCTAGAGATATAAGCATTCTAGCTAACACCCCCTTCCTTTGTATATATACATTGTATTTTTACTATCGACATCTACTTTACGGTCAAAATTGACCTGTTCGTCTATTTGTGATTTCGCCGGCTTTAAAAATATTCGCGGTTTAATGGAAAATTTGACTTTTATTTATCACAAATGCTACGGTCTATTTCCACCACTAAATGTTACCCGATGACCATCAAAATTGGAAGGCTTCTGCCCAGCCCAAAGCTCTAGCCCCATGCTAACTTTCGCTTCGATTGGTCTATAATTGTGACCTATAGAGCAAAAACAAAATCAAGAAATTTTTCAGTTTTTGGTCCATTTCAACCCCTAGATAAAAAATTCTGCTAAAATTTTAAAAATACCGAATGTAGTCGTTATATTAGGGTCTTTACGACGACGTATATTCAAATGCGTAACTTGAATAGAAAAATTCGGTGAATAATGCAGCTAAAATCATTAAAATTCCGAATATAGGGAAGTACCGTTATATTGTGGCTATACGAAGACGTGGATTTGCGTATGCAATTTTTTACCAGAGGCGGTAGTTCCAGTTACCAACTTTATATTCGAAATTTTAAACGCTTCCGGTTTATAGTGTCGTTGAAATCATCAACATACCTTATATTATACATAATTAAATTGAGAAGTACCGTTGTATGGGGACTATACGAAAACGAGGACTGACGTGATAAATTGATAAATTTTTCCTCGGCCTTTTTTCGAGGTGATGCATGAATGTGGCATAAAATTTCGTTATTGACTCAAAGTGTCAAAGGTAGAAATAATCTACGCCAAATTTCACTACAAATCTCAGAATAAACCATATATATATATATGGGTTTAACAGTTCTTAAGAAATTTACAGTCGAAATGATTGCAGATTGTGTTCATAGTATGTATGGACAGTCTTTTCGAAGAACTGTTCTAATAGATCCAAATTTTGGTATGGTCCCTTCATAAATGTACTACTCGATATTCGGCATTTTGAGGATTTTTGTCAATTTTTTAAAGGAATTATTTTAAATTTGGTCCATACAGGTCCACGTCTACTTTAAGCCCCTTTTAATGGTAGTTTTCTATATTCGGTATTTAAACTGTTACTCTCCGAATTTGGTATTTCAATAATTTTAAATTTGGTATATTCGTAATCGGCAGTTATAGTCATATTTTTAAATGTGTTACTGTTCAAATAGTGGAGAATAATAAAATTTCAGCCCAATCAAACTGACTTTCTAGTTGTTTTTACTCTATTTGTTTGCCATGATCATACCTACATAAACTTCTATTACGCATTTATAAAATATGAACTTTCGTTCAAAAATGCAATATTTTCTAAACATAATTATGTAATCGTTATAACAAACCACACAAAAATTGCCATTAGTTTATGTCTTCAAAGCTAGTTTACACAACACGCTAGAGTCATATGTAAAGTGACATTTCACATTTTATATTTAGTATTTTAATAGCATACTTTTAGACTCTCCCAATGATTGTTAAACTTAAGGGAACGATATGTTTTCATGCTACAATCATATAAAAATAAATACAATAAACATATTTTTTAAGTTAAAAATTGTAGGAGTGTCTTAAGGAATGCTATAGAAATCCTTAAGATAATCGTGGAAAAAGTCACTTTGCATATGACTTTTGAAATTCAATATATTATCGACACTTCCATTTTAAAATATGCACTTGAATTTATTAAAATGTTCATGGATTCATTTACAACAGATTCTTCGATTTTCACAAAAACATTGCATTAATTTAATCAACCTCCACACGATTCTTGCAATAGCAATCGTATTTGTTAAAAACCGTATCGCATATACTGCCACCTGTTGTCAGATTATTACACTTCGCCATGATGTCATTGAGTTTGTCCATGCCAATAATTGGTCCCAAAACTTTTGCAATTTTTGTTGGTTGAATAACACCGTCAATGAAAAATCCCACTTTACTCAGAGTGCATTCGTAGAAGCATTTCACATTTTCTTCAACATCAACATTTCCATGTTTGCAGTGGCGTATTTTGTTTAGCATTTCCGGTGAGAGGTTTACTTGTTCGCGGCATTGGTCTATGATAGCCTCTAGAGCGGCCCTTTTGTCAGCTGGGATCGTGAAGGTCTGAAAGTGCGAGAAAAGTAATGAATTATAGAGATTACCTTAAAATAATCAATAACTTACCTTATCACCATTAATAAATGGGCTATGAAGGAAAATAACGAATACGGCAAATGCCAAAATTTTCATTTTTTTTTCAATTTGTTGGAGAGAAAACTCTGCTTAAGTTTAGCTTCTGAAGTTGTACATAAAATTTCTGATATTTATACCCAAAAATTTGTACAAAATATAAACAGTGAAGAAAACACAAAAAAACATTGTTAGTTTAGTTTTGATTATGTTTATTTAGTTACGGTTTATTCAAAAATAAATTTTCGAAATATAATGCATAAACATATTTAAAAACATGATATGACAACAATTAAAAAAAAAAAAAAATGGATCAATGATTTAAGCAATAAATAATTGTTACTGATAATAGTTTCTAAAATTAACTGGATTTCGGTACGCAACTCAATGCAACACAACAAAAAAGGCAGTAAGGAAAAGTCAGAATTCGGGAGGGGCCGACTATATCAAATTTGAAATTTGATATTTGAAGATTTCAAGATTTCAGCTCTATCCCTAAATGTAGTACTATTTAGTACTTTTTGAGCAATTATAGTACGCCTTTTCAAAACAATCTCCATATCTAAACCTCATATACCAACAGTGACCTTACTTTCAAATTTCAGCATTCAGCTACTTAATTTCCCCCATTTGCAAATTTAGTACCATTTAGGACAATTATAGTACGCATATTCAAAACCAGCTCCTTCCCTCCATCACAGGCACCAACATTGATATCCATATCAAAATTCAGGATTTCAGCTCTATTTCTTCACTCAATAAAAAATTTAGCACAACTTCATACTTTTCGTACAAGAATACTACATTTCCAAAATTAAGGATTTCTGCTCTATTTCTTCACTCATTACCAAATTTAGAACTACTTCGTATTTTTCGTACTAGTAGACTAGACATTTCCGAAACCACCGCCATATGTTCAGGCTACATCTGAACAGCGCCCCTAACACCAAATTAGAGAGTTTAAGTTCTATCTTTCACCCAATACTTAACTATACCAAATATACATAGTAGTATTAGTCCTTTTCGTGTACTGTTAGTACACATTTCCAAAATCCTCTCTTTATGACAAACCAACTGCAAACAGGACCCTAATTTAAAATTTTCAAATCCCATCTTCATCCGTTCACCCTAAACCAAACTGTTCCACATTTAGTACAGTTCGCAATACTGGATTCTATCTTCGTATCAAACTTGATTCTCATTCCAGCTCTATTCGTTCACATAATACTAAATGGTCTCATTTTAGAAGTTTAGTTCCATTTTAGAACTTTTCGTAACCTTAAAGTTCGAATTTTATTTATTATTTTAAATTTCAGAATTCTGGATCATTCCGTTTGTCCTATACAATACTATCACACTTCCGTTGAAAATGCTGCTAAAATCATCAAAATAACGAATAACTTGAGGTAGCGTTAAAATGATGACTAAAGCAAAACGTGGATCTACCATATACAATGGAGACTATGTTCTGACACAGAAGGTAAAATCTGCACCTTAAATACCGAAATTAAAAAAAAAATCCATTAGAAAATGTGACTTAAGTCAACAAACTACCGAATTTCTGAAAATGCCGTTATATGAGGCTACTGAAAACGTGGATATAACTACCTAGTGTTTGGTCCTCGACATTGTAAGCCAACAATAAATACTTGTACCCAGATTCATCCACCATTGCTAGCTCCTATTATTATAAACTCGCGACATAGTGGGACATATAGTGGTGGCCAGGACCCCCGAAATGACTTTATAGAAGGTTCAAATCCTTAAAAGGTCCTATTCTTAATTTAGAATTAGATTACCTGTCTTTGGGTATTGTGGATTCTGAATAGGTATATTCCATGCAAAAAATATTCCATGTAGATTCAACTTTTTGTAAATTCCCGATATCTCATGGGAGTCTCTCACTTAATTTCTATTCAAATCAGCAGTAATTTAACTTTTCGGGTTATTTCTGGATTTAAAAGAGTATTTGATATAAGAATGACCTTCATATAACGGATCTTTGAAGTTGAGGGATTTTGAGTGAAGACCATGTGGTCATAAGTCAAGTTTTCACAAGGTGCAGGACATTAAAAGTTTGACCCGAACAAGCTTAACGTCGATTTTACTTGTTTTTTTTTTTTTTTTTTTTTTGTTCTGAGTGTTTTGTCAGATTTGATCTACTCAGTAAGAACACCAGATACCAAATTATAGCCATTTCTGTTGCAAAATGTTCTCAAATTTGTCCAAGTTCGTGCAAATGCAGACCGATTTCAAATTTTTTAATTAAATTGTAGATAATTCTGTTTAAGTTATCAATGAGAAATTCCGTTCAAAAAGGCTTCAAGATCGAAATACCAATCCCATAAAACTCTGATACTCTGATCATAAGTCGAATTTTAAGCCTATCTCGTCTTGAAATCGAGCGGTGCCTTCATGTGGGACATCAAAAAAAAATCTCCCATTTTCAAATATTTATACCCTACAACACTATGTGTTGGGGGTATTATAAGTTTGATTGGGCCAGAATTTATGTAACACATCGAAATATTGGTTTCCCACATAGGAAAGTATATATGGATCTTCCTAGCTCGCCGAGCTGAGTCAATCTAGCTATGTATGTCCGTCCGTCCGTCCGTCTGTCCATGTTAATTTGTAATCACGCTACAGGTCGCAATTATGGCCCGATCCTTACGAAATTTTGCACGAAGGTGGGGTTAGGCTCAGAATAGAAGCCTATTTCTTTTGGAGATGATCGCCAACTGTTTAGGGGTTGAAATGGACCAAATACTGAAAAAATGTAGGATTTTGCATGTATAGCTATACAGGTCGCAATTTTAGACCAATCGACGCGAAATTTCGCATGTAGCTAGAGTTTAGGGCGGGGAAAAAGCCTACCAATTTGGGTGTTCATCGGATAATATTTAGCGGATAAAATAGACCATATCTTTTATGTTGAAAAAAATCAAAATTTTTCATTAAACCGTGAATATTTTAAATCCCGGCGAAATCACAAAGCCATGACAAGGTTACTTCTGATCTTTACATTGATGTTAACATCCAACAAATCGGATATATAGCAAAATATGTGCGATATATATGTCTATCAAAGAAGATATGCTTGAAAGATCTCTTTTATGTCCAGAACGGCTGAACTGATTTCGACAGTTCTCATTAATTCAGAATGGCCTCTTGGCAGGAAAGAAAAAACGTCTAAAAAAATCGCATAAATATATCTCTCTAAAGATGAAAATATTGGTTTTGTAAAATATTCTCATATTTTTTTCAATTTTGTCACATTTTTGACATATTTTCATTTTGAATTAAACATTTGGTAATATTTTTACAGCTAACAAAACTAAGTAGTTAGGATATCAGGATATCATATACAGATCGCATTTATGGCCCGATCCTAACGAAATTTAGCATGGGGATCAAATGAGTGTCTCTTTTTGGAGATGATCGCCATATATTTGGGTTGGAAAGGACCAAAAAAAACTGCAAAATTGTCAGCAGGTCGTAATTATCGCCCGATCCTCACGCACATTTGAATGGGGGTTACCGGGCATTGCAAAAGCCAAGCAGTTTTGGATGGCCATCCAAAAGTATTCAATATGTGAAATAGTTTGCCAACTTTTGTAGACAAAATACGAAAATGTCCACTCCAGCGACTTTTTGGAGAATTCACAAATACAGGAAAGATGCACTTATGACAATTTCGTTGAAGAATATAGTCAAATGTCTGTATCTCATATAGATGCGCTTCAGTCAAAAACCAATAATAAATGTTAATCTTTTGCCACTTCTGAGAGATTATAGGTCTTTGGGAAATATTGGTTCCAGATCTAGGAAGATCATTTACGTGCAACATCTACCAATAAATTGGAAATGAGGAAATTAGTTCAAGTTGCTATTATTCGAAAATTAGAGAACGAAACCTGATGGTTTTCTTTTATTATTTGTCACAATATCTTGTGGAGTTCTTTCGAGTATCTCGCCTATATAAACTGTGTGGTTTATTATAGTGTTGTAGGGTATTCAACGGTCGGCCCCGCTCGACTGTAGCCTTTGCTTACTTGTTTTTTAATCGTCTAGGACGTTTTCCTAAAAATTAAAGTGAATACCCCAGATAGAATTCTACGCTGATTAAGAATATATGCTCTATAGGGTCACAAGTGATTATTTCTTTGAGTGAGAGACGGAAAGACAAACATAACATGCCCTTCATACTATAAAAGCAAGGGCATACAAATTAAGGTTTATACAAAAATTAAGGCTTCATATCGGAACCTGACCTAGATAACCAAAGCCAAAATATATGTTTCCTCAATATAACCATATAAAGCTGCCGATGCTCTATGACGTCTAATTCTCATTTCTAATTACGCAGTTTTAACTATTTTAACCCATTGGAAATACAGAGGGTATGTAGTGGTCATAGCTGGTAATTCTGATAGTGGCACATGTGCTTACCAACTTTTCCTGGGTTAATAAGCTAAGTTAAAATACCATCCCTGCCATTTAGCCATCAAGATTACAAGTCAATATTGAACTTTTCAATTAACGCATTAAGCTGCCGCTACTACTTACCAATATCCCCTCCAACGCATTCTAATATTAGAATTCTAAAATGGTTAACAATTTTAATTGAATCACAACAAGAAAAATGTAAAATTGTTCAAATCACTTTTTAAACAAATAAAAGGAAAAGCGTTTAATGCGGCCAAATGTTTTCCTTTTCATTAAATGTGTTCTAATCCCGAAAAAAGTTTAACATTTTGTTGAAACATTTCCTCCATACAAACACAAAAAAATACAAATGAAACACATTTCCCGTCAAATAAACTTACAAACAGACGGACAGACACATATACGAAGCGGAAAACAAAGTAAAAAAAGCAAATGTAACAAAAAAAGAAAAAAACGACAACATTCATTCATATGAAAATAACCATTTGAGATTAGCTTGACATTGTTGACATGGGATCCCTTATGTAAATCGGGACGAACTGCATGCCAGGGGATTTAAACATATGCAAAATTCCCATACACGAGGATTAGCATCGTATGCAGATAGATGT